ACAATCATGATAAAGTCTCCAGACCCCGAGTTTGGAGAGAAAGTGGGGAGGTGGTGGTGGCCAGTGTTTGAGGAACAAAGAGCTCAGGTCTAGCTAGTGACAGCTGAGCAATGAGTCAGTGCTGCCTTCAGCCAAAACAGAGTTGGCAGCCAGCAGGATTAAAAAAAAAAAAGTAGAGCACTGCTCCACACAGCCTGCCACCACTCCACCAAGTGTTCAGTGGGTCCCCCTGACTTCCCCTTCTATGCATTCCTCACAGCCATCTTGTTTATTTTTATCATTCTTCTACCTCTGTCAAATAAAGCAGATGAATAAGAGGCCTTCCAACGCTAAAATTTTATAATTGCCCGAGAAGACCCTGCTATAATTCTTGATAAAAATATAGCTTTAAAGTTTCTTTTTTTTGTTGTTGATAATTAGCATGATCTTTTCTTTTCACAAAACTTCAGCTCATCTAGCTTCCATTGATATTTATTTCTCCTATGACAAAAACAGTACAGGGTGACTTGTCCCCAATAGGGACAAGCCCTGGACCCACAGGTCCCAGAGTTAGGCAGCTGTATCTTCCTCAGTGAAGGTATTTCTATACACCTAAAGAGTCCACATGAGTAATCACATGGTTATGAAATGAATTTTCCAGATTCTTATGTTGGCAGACCAGATGGAAAAGGGCTTCCTACCTTGGAGTTGGAGGGGAATGTTAACGGTTCCCTGAGGAACTATGGCTTTCATGGTCCCTAACGGTTATCCTTTCTCCTAATGTGGTTTTCAGATCACTGCAGCTGAAACACCTGGGGACACCTATTACATATATAAAACCCTGGGCCTTGATCCACCTTGGTGGATCAGAAATTCTTGGCTCAGGACTTGAGACTACATTTTAACCAGATGGTTCAATTGATACTTAGGTAATCTCAGATACAGGTAGCCTCAACTCCCACATTTAGCAACTCAGCCTCCTTGCTGCTTATGGTATGGCTGCCAAATCAGCAGCACCAGCGTTAACTGGGAGCTTGTTAGAAAAACAGGATCTCAGCATCACCCAGACTTCCTGAACCAGGATCTTCATTTTAATAAAATCCCTACTTATTCAGTATGTACATTAACATGAGAATTACTGATTGAATCATATGCCAAACTTTGAGTATTTGTACCTATGCAACATTTAAAATCTTTCATAATTATAATAAGTTTAGATAATTTAAAAAATAGATTTACTCTTTTTATTCTTTAATTTAGCCTTATCATAAGCAAAAATATCAGTGGAAGTTTGATGTGCTATTTGTTTTTTTTAGCACATTAAAGTATATGAAATATTATTAAAATAAAATGTTTTCCTAACACATGAAGTCACATCACAAACTACACATGGTTTAAGGGCACTATGGGGGTGATTATGACATTGAATGGCAGTGACTTTCCAAGCCCTAACTCATATATATTATGGATGAGAAAAGAGCCTGAAAGGACACTTGTGTTGCCAAAGTTAACAAAGCTATTTATAGCAGAAGAGGACCCAAATCACAGAAGTGTTTCCCCAAGCTCTGCTTATTCTTTTGTAGAACTTTTCCTCTCTAGGCTGGGAGAAAAGTTATTGGCACCTTCTTCTGTTAAATGCCTAATATTGCTGAATATTGACACTAGCGATTTTCTTCTTCAATTAGTTATTTCTCCTATGTTCCTTTCTGCAGTGGAAGTCTGTCATTTGGTAGCTGACCACACATTTGCAAATCTTCACCACATGTTGACAATATGCTTCTTTCCTGAGTAGAATCCAGAAAATTCATAACCCCCTGATTTCCCTGTAGCAGGATGGAGACATGTGACTTAATGTTGGCCAATCAGATAAATGAGCCATAGGAGTCTGAGGTGAGCAAGGTGAGGAGAATTTCCACCAGAAATGTTGTGACAAGGCTTTTGTCATCAGGACTGGAACTGGCAGAGCTTCTGGCATCTAGTTCTGAAGGTGTTAGATGCTGAGCTATGGTGGCATCAGAGTTGAGCAGGAGAAACCCAGTGACATAGCTGGGCCTTGCTTCTGACTGTGAGGAACAGTGATTCCTTCTGTTGGACTTTCCTAGATTTCCCTGTGAACTACTCACTATCCCTTGGGAACTTTTTTTTTTTTTTTGTCTTAAACTCTAGTTGATTCTAACTGGAACAAACAACCAATACATATAAACCAATACATATAAACCGTACAGTCTATGGAGACGTTCCTTATGCAAACTTGGTTTCAGAAGAATCTATGTTGATTGTCAAAATAGAAATTGTCTGAAAAATTTTCCAGCAATGAAATTGTATGACTAATTATTGATCACAATTATTTTCATGTTGACTTTAGTAAAAGCTTAGATAATTTCGGAAGCCTCATAAGCATTCTTTCCTTAATTACCAAAAAGAAAATAAAAGAAAAAGAAATTTAAGCACTCAACATTTTACAATAATAATTCTGTTGTCTATACCACTCAAGAACTTTGGATTTCCTAAGTCTAGAACTGCATAGCAAAAGGGGTATTATTATGGACATAATTACTTATTTTGTAAGACTTCTCATTTAACAATTTGGCAATATGCAGAAATAATTCTATAACACACAGCTTGCACATAAGCTTCAAAATAGGTATTTTTAAAGACAGATGTTAAAGTTTTCTCAATAATTATAAAATTAGCACTTATTTTATTTTTCAGTTTAAATGTGTCCAGAATGATGAAAAACAGTACTAATGCTAATTGTCAATTGCATTTGCTCATGAGTTTTCTGAATGTTTTAGGAGAATGCTACTTTGCCTGGGTATGTGTTCTGGCAATTGTATAATAAAAGGCTTCAAGTTATCACGCACGCCAATATCCCAGGTTTTTTTTTTTTTTTTTTTTTTTTGTGAGGGCTAGGAATGACAATTTTTAAAGAGATATTGATAGAGTCTTTCCAATCTGACATCAAAAGAAAAAATAGGCAAGCATCTGTAGTTTTTCTTCTACAACTCTGAGTGTTAAGAACATGAGAAAAGTGGGTGGGAAGAATTACAAACTCTAAGAAACCTACCATTCAGGAAACTAGTGAAGGAGGAAAGTGAGTTAGAAAAACAGTGAGAAAGAGCAACACTGAGCGACAAGAACAGGGATAGGAAAGATGTCAAGGAAAGAACTTCAAGTTCGCTTTTAAATACTAAAACAACAAACATGTGGCCAGCTATGCCGCCTTCCTCACCTACTTAAGACAAAACAAGTCTGAAGGGGTGAGCCATATTTTTACAATCATCCTACCCCCAAAAGATTGGAAGAGAACTTCCTGGTAGGAAGAAAGTGGTAGAAAAGGATCTGATTCTTATGCCTTTCAACGCCTAAGACTTTTCAAGGAAAAACTAAGTTTGTTTTCCCAGGACATACCAACTCTCCCAAAGTTTAGATAATAGCAATCCTGGAAACCATTTACAAATGATTTCACCAAATATCATTGCATGTGGGTTTTGCTAATGAGCTTTTTCGTTTTTAGAGGTGTAATTGAGTGATAAGGTAAATAAATATTAATCCTAACACCATAAAAGATCAGACATGTTTAGAAAATCTTTTCTAGTTGGAGACCTCCAAACAACAGAAAATGAGGATAAGAAGAATCACATCAGAGACATATTTTCCCAGCACCTATCAAATGTCAGGCCCAGGGCACAGTGTTTTATATATTTTATTTCATTTCAGTCTCACAACAACTGTGACAAGAGAAGTTTTTATGCCATTCTGATGAGGAAACTAGGGCTCAGTGACACTTAATAAATAAATGGTAAAGAGGAAATTCAAACTCAGGTTTGTTTGGATGAATGGACAATCTCCACTCAATGATCATTAATGCTCTAGAGTCACCAATAGCAGTAACAGAATGGCAAAAGACAGCAGACCTGAGTAGGGATTTATGTTGGTCCCAAACATTAATTTACCCCCTGTATTTAAAATTCATTATCTTTTAATGATACCTCAAATTAGGGTGGTGTTACTATGCTCAGCCCAGGTTTAGAGGACGCAGCCTCTTCTCACTTCTGGGAGATACTAAAATATTAACTCTTTATCAAACAAATGACATCAGTGAAAAAGCTCACAAACTTCCAGTTTTACAGGAAAAAATGTTATTTGAAATAGTTGTATAGATAATCCCGAAATATACTAAGGTTTTAGATAAACTTGGATACCCTGGAAGACCGAACACAATCATTTCATTAAAAATGACTAGACAAAATTGTAGTTCTTTATCTTGAAAAGTATGTATCAATGATTTTTAAAAATAAGCTGCAAAGCTTTGAAATTTAATATACAAATAAAAAGCTCAGCCAGAGCTTATGGGGTCTGGCTATGCTAAGGATCTTGTATGAACAGGAAACCCAGGCTTGAAATCTAATTTTATTTGTTTTGTGACCCTGTTGAGTTTATTTAGCCTCTTTCAGCCCTGGTTTCCTTAGGTACAAGGGAATGACAATACTAAGGTGGTGAAGGGATTACATAAGAATTATATAGAGCTTTAGCAGAGATCCTAGTGTGGTTCATGCTCACGACCGGGATTTTATTTTCTGAAGAAGGAAAAGGCCAATTATGTCTACTTGCACTATACACAAAAGTATCAGTAGATATTTATGATGATATCTATTAAATGCTTATTATTATATGCCAGGAACAATTATAGCTAATGGTTTCACTAAATTTTAAACCTCTAATCATTGTGAAGAAATTACATAGACGGACACAGTGGTACATGCCTGCAGTCCCAACTACTTGGGAGTCTAAACCACAAGTTCTCAATCATCCTGTGCCACACAGCAAGAGTCCTATCCCTTCCCACACCCTCAACAGAGAAATTACATTCTTGTCTCCAACAGAGAAATGAAACTTTGTTTGAAAAATGTCAGAAATAAATGGGCACTGTTTGCCTCTTTTACAGGCCCCACCCACTGGGGATACCCCTGTAGAGTAGGATAGAATAAGGGTCTTCCCATCTTCAGGAATTGACTGACCTTTGTGGCCAGGGTTTTCCCACCAGCATGGCTTCTAGAGGGCTGACTGCTCCCAAGGTTTGCTGCTTTTTCCTTGAAAAAGAGAAAACATTAGTTTCAATGGGGGAGAATACCTTAACAATGTAGTCAAGTGCTAACTTTCCTATTAATAAAAATACCTTCTCAAACAAAACCAGACACACCCAAGGTAAACAAGATTTTAATTTTTCATAACTTTGCCTTAAGAGAATATAAATAATGAAAAGGAAGAGTAAGTTGCATACATCCCAGTTGTTCAATATTCAAAGATTCTGAAGAACTGCAAAAACCGTCTCATGGGCAGTTGTCATTTCCTTCCAGAAACATCACTCACTGTGCAGCAGTTGCCCCTCTTGCAGTTCTGTGTGCAATAGTAAGCCTCTATGGGGGATGATTTAGCAATATCTTAAAATATGATTCTACTTGTAAAAATCTACCTTAAGGAAGTGATTAAGAAAAGAGCAAATGACTTTTATTCAAAGGTATTCATCACAATACTGTAACATGAAAAAGGTGAAAATAATATAAGCAATAATAATGAATATCTGAGAATTTATGATGTGCTAGGTCAAATGACATAATTATAAATTAGAATAATAGAATTATAGATAACAACGCTTTAATAATAAACAATGCCTAGATAACAATGTTTTAATAATAGTCATTATAATTCTATTTTTATAGATATAATTATTTTTATTATTATAAATTATATTTATTATTAGAGCTTCTGAAAGCTGTGTTTTAAGCACTATCTGCAACACCTATTAAAATCTTTACATTAACTGACATAAAACTATTACTATTGTTACTATCATTTTATAAGTGAGAAGAATGAGGAATGGAATGGATAAGTAACTTGACCATGGCCACAACAAATAAAAGGATGTCTGCTTCAGACCCTTTCCCTTACCGACATTATACTACTCCAGTAGGGGGTTAGGCCATGACATAGCTACAGGATGAAATATCTGTGGCTATTAAAAATCATTTCTTAAAAGAAATCACATTAAATGAAAGTACATTATCCTTATTTTATATAAATGAAAGTCATTATAAAATATTATGTATAATATCATTTTTGAAGTTCATTTGGGATCATTTTCTAATGGTAGGGTTGAAAAAGATTTTAAAAAGATTCCTTCTTGGGCATTTTTGGTATTTTCTTATATGAATATTTTTACTGAGAAAAGGAAAACAAGTGAGCAAAAAAGAAAACATAAAATACAGCTGCTTTCTCAACAAGACCCTCATATCATGTATCTCCTAGTTTTGAATATCTATATCAGAAAGTGCAAACATAAAAATTCTAAAGCTTTATAATATAAAACTGTGAGATTATACTCCAAGATCTATAATATGTGAATAATGCATGATAAGCATCAAATACACAAGAGATGGCAAAGCATTAATTAGCTGATGTATAAAATTGATCTTTAACTGTGCAGCAAAAATTTTTATATATATAAAACTAAAAATAATTTGGTTTAATTCTTTGATATTTGATGAAAAGCTTAGTCAAATTTTTGTTGCTTTTTTAAAATTATCAGATATGGAAGTTTGGTTTGAAGTCTTATTCTCCTAAAGGGAAAATACTACCTATGCAAGTGTAAAAATCAAAACTTATCTTTCTGTGCTCCTTGTGTAATCTCTGTGCATCCACTGGTTGACTATTCTCCAAGTGTTCAGGAAGATCACCAGGGTTAGACATGTTTTTATAAAATGGAATCTAGAGGCCTCAGAGAAACCTGCATGAATTGCAGACCCTTGGGCATTATTTTTAGAATAAACAAATGGTTTCTCTCAAGCACACATGTACTGCCATCAACCAAGGGGAAAGAAAACCATAGATAAATATGATAGAGCTGCTAAAAAGCTAGTAATATGGGAGTGATCCGAGAAGTGGTGAAAGGAGGACATAGCCTGAATTTCGTCCATTTTGCAAGGATTTTGAACTTACTAAGTATACTAAAAACACTCTTGACAACTACAATGTACAAACGGATTCAGTGTATAGTCTATAGACAACCAATGTAGTTCAGCTGGAACCAGAGTAGAATTTATAAATATGATCTTTCATTAATTTTTTCCTAACATTTACTAAGCCCTTTATAAATGTCGCTTAAAATATAATATAAAAGCCAGGCACAGTGGCGCACACCTGTAATCCCAGTGGCTTGGGAGGCTGAGGCAGGAGGATCCTGAGCTTGAAGCCAGCCTCAGCAACAGTGAGGCACTAAGCAACTCAGTGAGATCCTGTCTCTAAATAAAATACAAAATAGGGCTGGCGATGTGGTTCAGTGGTTGAGTGCCCCTGAGTTCAATCCCTGGTACCAAAAAAACAAAACAAAACATAAACCTTAATATAAAAGCTTAGATGTGTGCGTGTGTGTGTGTGTGTGTGTGTGTGTGTATTTATACATATACACACACACAGTCTAACATTATTTTCAGGTTAGGAACCAAACTTTAGTTACAGATTGTTTCAGCTGATGTATAAGATCTGGTTTCCTTTTTTGAATTGTGTGTGACTTCATGTATTCATTCATTTGTTTATTCACTATGAACCAGGCCCTATTCTAGGCAGTAGAAATAAAATAGCCAATTAAACAGGAAAAGCTCTTCTCTCACAGCACTTATATTCCAGTAGGAGGTCCCAGTCTCTAAATAGATGAACAAAATACAAGATGTTATCAGAGCACAATGACTGCTGAACAGACTATAAAACAGTGGAATGAGACAGTGACTGGCTGAGTGTTGACAGGATGACAGGATGCATGAAATGGCATTTGCGTCCTGACTGTCATGAAGAAATCAATCCCGTAAAGCTGAGTCAGGAGAGAAGAGGTATCTATCTAGTTGGACAGAGGAGCATGTCCAAAGGCCCTGAGCTAAGAATGGGATTGATATATTAGAGGAACAGGAAAAAGCCAGTGCAGAATGGAATTCATCTACCCACAGTAAGTACAAACTCTCAAAACAAGTTCATCCCACATTCGTCCTAACCATTGGTATGTTCTATTCCCTATAATAAAAGGTTAAGATGTTAAGTGAGAATACTAATCCTATGATACATTTAAATTTTAGATTATTTTACTTAATTTCCATAGACTAAAAGCATTCCAGCAGATTTTCCTTTGCTAATCAATCACATTCTTTCTAATATTTATGTGCATCTCTTTGTTGAGTTTTGCAGAAAGTAGGTTGCTAGAAACATCCTGCCTCTTGTCTCTTATTTCCGTTCTCAGGCCTGGCTGAGTCATTTCCTCCTTGCGGTTCAGCATGTCACAGGTACTAAGGACTGACAGGAACAGCAGTGTCTTCTTCCATGCCCTATTTTCCTCTATTGGATTCAAACTCTAAGGCACCAAGTCTGGTCCATTTGCAGGAATCCTCCTGCTCAATAGCAGACTGTTGATATATACAGGTCCTATTTCCATGAACTAGGAATCCACACTATGGGAAGCAGCTGCCTCATCTCCAAATCAGTCTATCAACTAAGAGGTCAGCAAAACGGACACTTTCTGCTGTGCAAAGAAGCTCACTAGAGAATGTACACATAGATGATTTGGATCTTGGGTTGCAGGAAGGCATGAAAAGAATTAATTGTCTAACATTTTGTATGTCTATTTTAGTTATTATAAAAGTTTTTTACTGAGTAACTCAGAATTAAAGTCTTAAAATCTGTTTTCAAAATAACAATGAAGATTCAAGAACCAGGGACTGGGGATGTGGCTCAAGTAGTAGTGCACTCGCTTGGCATGCGCAGGGTGCTGGGTTAGATCCTCAGCACCACATAAAAATAACAGATGTTGTGTCCTCCGAAAATTTTTAAAAAATTAAAAATTTCTCTCTCTCTCTCTTAAAAAAAAAAAGATTCAAGAACCAGGCAGAGTGGCTATGTCGTTGCTACATGAAATATCAGTGAAGGTCATAAGTGAAGCCTCCTATTATCCTGAGACTTGGTGACTATGCACGAAAAGGTACCACGCTCTCTAGGATAATGACCCTATACTTTTCATGTATGTCTTAAGAATCCCGGCCAAACAAATGTGAGTTATGAGATTATGGTGAAGTTTAGAAACATTTCTAAACACCAATTTCCTTATCTGAATAATAAGAATGACTCTACTTTTATCTCAAGGGTGATTTTGAGCATTAAATGAGATGTGTCCTGAGGTCTGTGCCCACAGGTTAGAAATTCCTGCTTTAAAGAGAGAGCTCTAAGCCAGGTGTGGTGTGGCACACACCTGTAATCCCAGTGGCTCCGGAGGCTGAGGCAGGAGGATCATGAGTTCAAAGCCAGCCTCAGCAACAGCAAGGTGCTAAGCAATTCAGTGAGACCCTGTCTCTAAATAAAATACAAAATACATCTGGGAATGTGATTCAGTGGCCAAGTGCCCCTGAGTTCAATTTCCAGTAAAGAGAGAGAGAGAGAGAGAGAGAGAGAGAGAGAGAGAGAGCGAGAGAGAGAATCCAGAGTTCTTAAATAGGCAGCAATAGAATAGACTGACTTCCCAGAGCAACCACAGTGGCCTAGTTTTAACTCATGAGAGGATTTAGAGGATGTTGAAAACCTTCTTTTAGCATGTATTACTTATATTACCAGAAGAAATAACTTTCTTTGTTTTGTTTTTTTACTGGATGGAAAAAAAATGTGATTTCCCCAGCTTAGGACTAGCCCATTATTATAACAGTGGGACATAGGTAAGTTACTTRGGAATAGTTTGATTACTTTTGAAATTTGCTTTTAAACTGGGTTAGGTTGTACCAGAGCAGCCTTTAGAATAGTGATATTGTGGTATACTAATAAATAATTATTAATCTTGTGCCCTTGGTTCCTGGCACAGAGCTCCTAAAAAACCTTGTAACTTCCTGGGCCATAAAGAGACAAGGAGGATCTTTGGTTCTGGTATTTGGTGTTTGGTCCTGGTTTCTGACAAAGGTCCTAAATCCTGTGGAATTTCCTGGTTGATAGAGTGTCTTTTGTTCTTGGTGGGCTTCTGGATGGGAGCTGGTCACCAGAAGCTATTAGAGGCATGGACTTTTATTCC